ACTTTCTACTCATATTTATTTGGCAAAATTTGCTACAGGACACCGAAAGATTGCGGCATTTGCTATGAGACACCCGAAGATCGTGTATTTGCTCGTGGACACTGCAAAAAAATAGTAATTAGCTACTGGACACTCCTTCCATTATTTTATTATTTCCGGTTAAAATAGAGAGAGAAACTTTGGTTAAAGACAAGTTTGCCCATGGGCCCACTTGTCAATCTCTCTTTCTATGTTCTTCTTCCTCCCTTTCTCGATCTGTTCCTCTCTTTCTCATTGCGCCGCCACCGAGCTCCGCCATGGCCGAGCCGTCGTGCGTCGTCGCCGTCGGCAGTGAACTCCGGCTCTAGTGTCGACCAAACCGAGAGAGGAAGCTCTCAATCTCTTCATCGCCCTCAAATCCCTCGCCAGCCATGAAGAAGACAACGCGCGATGTCACCAAAGAGCTATCTTCATCTCTACCTTACCACCATTCCATACTCACCTTAACATGCCGAAGATTTTTCCTTTTGATTACATCCTCTCTCGTGTAGCGGATCGACGGGAACGCCGTCGTGTCATCGCCGACCTTGGAGCACGCTCTGCACATCGCCGCCTTGACGTTGTCGCCGTTCGGGGTGCAGTGGACCATTGCAAGCCGAGCCACCATGCCATCAGCTTCACCTCGACCTCCTCTCCTTTTACTCCCAAGTACCCCATCCAATGGCGCAACGATCTTGGAGATCGGCATCATCTTCTCCAACTCCGGCTGCCGAGCTCCATCTTCGATTTCTCCCTCTCCAGTGAGTCCCAATCCGATTCCTTGCCATGGTAGCCTCGCATGGACATCTCTAACACGAAATACATGCATGCATGGCAGTCCTTTGAAGAAATCGAGCCATCGTCGTTCATCCAAGGTGAAGCGCCGCCGCCGAGACATTCCGCAAGCCATCGTCGACGACCAAGCTTTGCCGACCTCATCCGTGCGCAGGGATGCCGCTGTGTGTCATCGCCGTTGGCGGTGAACTCCGGCGATGCGCCGCCGCCCCGCCGTGGCCGAGCCATCCTGGCTCGGGCCGGCCGTCGTCGCTAGGAAGAATGGGAACTTACACAGCTCTTTCTCTCTCTATTTTGACCAAAAATAATAAAATAATGGGAGGAGTGTCCAGTAACTAATTACCACTTTTTTGTAGTGTCCACGAGCAAATACACGATCTTCGGGTGTCTCACAGCAAAAGCCGCAATCTTTCGATGTCTTGTAGTAAATTTTGCATATTTATTTGTACTCCTGTGAGGTTTGGTTTAGTTTAATGAGACTTGACGAAAATTCGCTCCCTTTTTATCTCAAGGTAATGTAGTAGCCTAGAGCCGATCCGTTTCAACAGAAAACAAATTCAGTTTCTAATTTACTAAATCAATTAATAAACAATTATTTAGTCTAAGTAAATACATATTGAACAAGTAGGTGATTTGATTTTTTTTTTGATGGAGGTAATAGTGAAATGAGGGAGAACCTGTTAAAAGTTGGTGTAGCATAGATTGTGAGACATAAACTTAACTGGTAGGGGTTATATGAGAATGGATATCATCGCTACTAACATTGAGCAGTATAGACTAGTCAATATTGAGCTGAAAACCAGCCCGCATTGATGGCCCACGTAAATACCCAACCCAACATAAACACCGCCAAGATACAGCCCATGCCCATATGATGTGCCGCCCAGCGACAGCGAGCGTGACATCGGCAGGCCCACGTGCTGCCAACGGGCAACCTGTCAGCGGCCCATTCAACATTGAAGTGAAAAGGGCGAAGGCCCAGTAAAGCCCATACTAAACCCAAAAGCAACCGAAAAGAGACACATCTCGGGTCCTCTCCTGCAGCCTCGCCGCCGCCGCCGCCTAGGCCTCCTCGCCGGCGCGCGGTAGCTCCGACGGAGGAGTTCCCCCCATGACCTCCCGCTCGCTCATGTTGATGTGCCAGCTGTCAGCGCACACAGCTGAGCGCCACCTCGTCCTCGTCGATCTCCCTCGCCGGGATATCTTTCCGCTTGCGGCTACGTCTCCGCCGGTCTCCGGTCTCAAGTACTCCCTCCGTACTCAGAAACTCGTTTTGGACAGCGACATGATCTCTAAAACACAATTTTAACTTCTGGCTTCTATAAAAATATTTATTAAAAAATGATATATATATATATATATATATATATATATATACTTTAATAAAAGTATTTTTCAAGACAAATCTGTTCATATACTTTTTATATTTTCAAACTAAGTTATTTTATGATTTACATTCGTAAGGTTTGACTGAAACATTGTCCTAAACGACTTTCTAAACCATAGTCTATACTATATACTACACTACTTTCTACTCCCTCCGTCCTAAAATATAACAACTTCTAGCCTTTAAAATTTGTCCCAAAATATAACAACTTATTCACCAACATTTTCTTCTCAACCAATCATAATTCTCCACCATTCAATTTTTTTACCTACCTCCACTTCTTCTCCAATCACAACACTCTCCTATTTAATCCTACCAATTTTCTTAATAATTTTATCCAACTTTAAAAATGTTTATATTCTGGGACCCACTGGAGCTTCGACCAACCACCATCGGTCAATTCCGCTTTGGGCGGAGGGAGTAGCATCTTCAACTCAGTTCTTCCTAAGGCTATCCCAACCCAGAAACTATCAAGTAGTTTCCATACTTGCCATATAATATAGACACTATGTGTAGAAACTATACATCCAATAGATAGTGTCTTCAAATTAAATTACCATCCAATCATCTCTCTTCTCTCTCCTTTTACCCTCCTATCCCATTATTTTCATTCTTGGTTACTGTGTAGATATGGTTTCTTGTATGAGATATGGTTTCTCGTATGAGAAATGATTTCTTCATCTTTTTACCTCTCTCATTATTAACTCTTTTGCCACATCATATTTTTGCTTATGTGGCAATGTATTTAATGCTATTGATAGTAGATAATATGGAGGGTTGGAGATGTCCTAAGTTCTTGTCTCGGACGAACCGGTTTTTTTTTGTTGAATAATTTACGAATAGATTTTAAGTAGTACAATAAATTATGAATAGATTTATTAGTACATAAATTCTGCTTAGCTTAACATTGGGGGGGGGAGGAAAAAGTATGAAACCGCAGTACCATTTCACTGTACAAATCTCCTTAAGAACCCAGAGAAATTTTATTCATTATGTAATCCATTTGACTGTGTAAACAAAGGTACTAGTACTGATAGTTTACAAAGAAGCAAAACCAAAACATCTGGTGGGTAGTGTAAACTGTAAACTAGATGGATGTAGTTTCAAACTGGGTTTCTGGTTTAGCTCTTGATGCTGCAATCTTTCGCATAACCATACTTTGCATCCGATCTATGTGAGTGGAGCTGGCAACGACGTAGTCCAGATAGAGAGAGAAACGATAACACCAAGTTTTGGTGGTGAACACGACTAGATGAGTGTGTGAAAACACGGTCCCGGAAGATTCCGTTTTCCTTGAACGCGCGGGAAGAACAAAAGATGAATAAAAAACAATAATATTGTCCATCGTCTTCCCTAACCAACACAACCAACAGAAGAGGAGGGAAGATCGGCAACAGTGCTCCAGCGACCAAACAGGGATGAGTAAGGTGGTCGGACGTGTCCCATGATGTGACTCGTCCATAGATGGTGGTGGTTGGCAATGAAGCAAACCAGAACAATGGGAACACGGCTGACAACAACATGGTCCCGATAGAGAAAGAAACGACAATAGGAAGCTCTTGTGGTGAACATGGACGGGTGAGTACATCAAAACGTGTTCCCGAACGAGGAGGTTCCGTTTTTCTTGAATGCGTAAGAGGAGGATACGCAGGGGAGAGGAGAGATGCCAAGGAGTAGAGATGTCGTGGGAAAGGGGGAGGACGTGCGGCGAGGTATAGATGTGGGGTGTCGTGAGGGAGGATGGAGGCGGGAGAGGAGGGTCGCCGGGAGAGGTGGGAGAGGAAGGACGTCAGGGAGAAGAGGGGCCATGGGCAGGGGGAGCGTGTGAAGATCAGGGCACCAGGAAGGAGGGAGGGGAGAGAGGGGGAAGCAAGGGGTGACGGACGAAAGTGAAGGCGGAAGCCTTATGTATTTTTAAATTAGGTATATATAGATATAGATAGATTTAGTTTTCAGCTTTGCTCCTTTTATTTTTTTTAATTAAACTACTCCCTCCTTTCCAAATTGATCATCATATAATAGAATTTAAAATTTCTCAAATTGATCATCATATACATGCATGAACACGGATTTCATTAGAATACAATTAATGCTGCATGGGAGTAATTGGCATGGTGTTTTAATCGATGCATGTATTGTGGAAAAATATGTGTATGGTGCCTTGATTGATATGATTTAAATTATCCTTGGTCTTGGTGCATAAACTTATATTTATATATGAGGATCAATTTGGGAATGAGGGGTACTATATAAGCGTCACATCAATACCACACAGGGCAAAGAATTAGTCAAATTAGCCACGTAGTTAACACGTCAGCTAAAACCGAGGATAATACTGACACCTCGTTTGCACTGGTTTTGTAAATCGAGGTTTGCACTGGTTTTGTAAATTTCACAAAACGTACACGTTTTGTAGTTCAGGTTGTAGAAAACCACACACTTTGACACTTGGCACTTAAGTATATATATTTTGGTTCAATGAATGGATTCACTCGCGAGATGACGTGACTGTTTCATGAAGGACGAGGACATGACATCATATTACCCGCCATCGCACGAAATTAATAGGATGTCACGTCCTTATCCTAGATAAAACATCCACGTCATCTCGCAGGTGAATACATTCATCGATAGTGTGGTTTTGTAAAACTAAATTACCAAAATATATGTACTTAAGTGCCAAGGATCAAAATATGTGTGATTTTCTACCACTTAACCCTATAAAACATGTAGTTTTGGAAATTTACTCTAGGTTTGGGGGACCCGTTGTTTTTCCGTTCAGGGATATTAAGGGCATCACAGTGGGGGCCCACAGATCTCTCTCCCCGTTCACTTCCCCGAAACGTCCCCATGCTGCGCTCCCTCGCCGGCGCCGCCGAGTCGGGGCGCTCGTCGGCGGCCGCGGCGCTCCGGCGGTCCCTCCACGCAGGAGGGCGGGAGGAGGTGGAGAGCGTGGCGTACCGCATGTCCATGCTCCGGCCTCCCCCTGTCGTGCCGAGGAGGGGGCTCCCGAGGAACTCGTGCAGCCTCATCGGCCGCCTCGACGGGCCGGTGCGCCCGTGCGGTGGCAGCTCCGACGAGCGGCCCATGGCGTACACTTTCCTGTCGGTCTCCTCCTCGCCCTCATCCCCGCCCTCCTCGAGTCCGTCCAACTTCCGGTAGCGACCCCACTCTTCTCCCTGAATCGCAATTAGTTTGGATCCCTGACAGAAACGGAAGGCCTTTCTTTGGTCTATCTTAGTGCTAATTCTTCTTAGTAATCTTAGTTGTGTGCGCTCATAGTAAGTTCAATCTTGTGATGCTTGTTGCGGTCGGTTCGTGTGATTGGATGCCCATTCTGTAATAATTGATTTATGGTGCTTAATTGCTACATTTAACTGTGCTATGGGTTGGAATAACCTTTTCATTTATGTTAGGAATTACCTTTTCATTCATGTTGTCTGCAAAATTCATCTAGTCCTAAGTCTTTCCCCTCATTTGTACTAGGCATGTTCAGCTTGCATTTCCAAATTGTTTTGATGAGAAGGCCATTGTTTAACTTTGGGTACTTATTTTTATTATTATGAGTTCTAGGGCCAATTTGTGTTTATACATTGTTTTAACAGATTCATTCTTAGTACATGCTGTATATATCTATCAAAAAAGAGAATATTGATTGGAGTAAAACTGAATCAGCTTAGCAGAGTCTCATTTTCTTTCACAAACCTGTTAATCGTATAGGGGATATTCAAGGTATGCATGGTTTAATGAGGGTTTATTTTCTTGTCCTTTTTGTAGAGCATGAATGAAATGTATATAGTCTTGTTCGGCTCATGATTCCTGTACTTTCGTGTAATGGAGTTTATCACCATTTTTACAATGTTATTATGATCTTGAACAGTGTGACATTGAATTTGCAAGGCGAGCTGGCACATGTAAGCCTAAAGCATTTGAAACAAAATGACCTTGTTTATGTATCTGGCCTTCTGAATTCATATCATAAAGTTGATCCAAGTGGAGAGAAGCATACGTTCTACAAGGTTTGTCAATGATAACTTCTTTTGAACACTTTTTGATGTTCTTTGTGAAATATAAAAGGAGCGCACACCTAGGCCCTAGGACCTTGATGATTTGTATGTCACCAGATTGTGCCTTCTCTAATATATTTTCTATTCCACAACCTTCGCTTATATAGATTATACATCTTCGTATGCAGAACATTTATTAACATCAGAACTTTAGCTCAAATTAAAAATACAAAGTTTGCTCAGAATGTTTGCTTGTTCCGTGCTGCTTTTGTGTTGTGAACACCTTTTGTGGTGGATGTGCATAATTGTCAACAAGGGAAGAAAAGCTACAGGAGTGGCAGTTGGAAACAGGTTCATAGAAAGAGTTTGATGTCCACAAATAACAGCACCATGTCCTTGAGGAAAGTTTGTGCTAGTTGGTTAGTAGATTTTGCACTAACTAGTATATAGCAGGTTAGTAGTGGATTGACATTGGAATAGCAGATACCACCTGCTATATTAGTGGAATAAAAAAACTCAATTTTTTTAAGTTAATCGTGCATACATCAAGAGTTCACAACTCTCTTAACACAATAAAATGGTGACATTTATAGGTCCGAAACACTCATAAAAGATATAGATAGACGTACAACTCACTAGTATATGCACGAAAAGTGGTAGTAATTAACAAGGTAGTCAAAGTTTAGATCTGGATTCTCAAGTAGCCAACATGACTTAACACTGCAACTACAAAATTAAACTTTAAAATTCAGACTTCAGACTCCAGTGCATATAGCAGTTGCTATTTTGTAACCCGCTATTTTGCAGCTGTACCTCATCTCAGTAGCGGTAGTACCCACTACTGCTAATGCGAGCACTGGCTGCTACCACCGCTGCTATTTGGAACCTTGAAATTTGTAATAGTAGTTAGATGCATCATTTAGTTATATCAGAGATACATAGTCAAGAGTTGTTGAAGTTGCACCAAAACATGTTAGTATGCTTGATACCTTAGAAGAAATAAAGGAAGTTCCTCCATCCAGAAGTACTGGTTCCTGCTGTATTTTTCTCTTGACTGTCTTCTCTCTCCCTGTTCATTCTAGATTCTGTTTCTCCCCATTCAAGCCCTCCTTCACCTATTGCTGTTCTTCAAATTGTCCTTACCTGATTTCCTCTGACAAATGTTTAGTTAGCAACGCATTGTGATATTTGTGGCCAAGAAAATATGTTTTCAGTGCAATATCCCTTCCATGCCATTGTGATTCTAACTCCGTCTTTTTTATAGATACATGTCACAGACCTAAACTATGTTCTTGATCAAAATCAGAGGCCTCAAAATGATGAGAATTCTTCAGACAAATCATCAATGCTGTCTACCACAGGTATTTCTGCTGAGTTATCTTGTACAGTTATATTCTTTTCTATTATTTACCAAATCTTCTAACCTTGTACTTTTCAAAAGTTAGATGAAATACTTACAGAAAAGAAGTACATAGATCGGCTTCGCTTGTGGCAGGTCTTCTTCGCTAGCCCTTACGAATGGTGGGACAACCGACAATCCAAGCCATACTCCTACTATCCTGATTTCAAGCACAAGGACACTGGCGAGAAGCTGTGGCTTCGTGCAGATGATCCTCCTTGGGTAAGAAGACAGCTTGAATTGCAAGACCAACAACTGGCAGAGAATGGACACAGGGATGGTAGTAGGACACTGAAAAACCACACATGGAAATCACAAGATTTTGACTGCTCTCCGTCTCAAGATTTTGGCTATTCTGATGACGAAGAATTGCTTCATTCATCAGGTGCATGATATGGGGAGATGTGAGATAATGCTAACTGGTCTCTTGATCTGCAATTATTATGCCTAGCTTCACTGTAGAACTCACTTAGTTGTAGAGGATATAGAGTACTTATGTTAGCGTAGCAAGTTATTAATGGCTTGAATGGCGAATACTGGTAATGTGTGCGGTAACTCATGTACATGCATGATGTGGTGGAAATGTAAAAAAAGTACTTATAATCAACAGATGGTGGAAACCTAAACACTCGAAATCATGTGATTACGACAAGTACTCCCTCCGGCCTAAATAAAATCGATTCCTAGATTCTCGAGGCTAGTTTAGGGTTCATGTGAAATTACCGAAGTACCCTCATTAACTACATCCATCAACAATCCCAATCCCAATCTCTGCATTCTGCACACATTAATTTAGTAACTAGTAGTACTACTACTAGTACTTTAGAGAAGGAGTAGTACTAGGAAAAGAAGAAAAAACGAAATGCATTGCCGCAAGGAAGGAACATCTCTCTAATCTAAGAAAAAGAAATGGTTTGAATTCACATACAAGAACAATAGCAAGAACAAGAACAAAGAAGAACCAGGAATAGAGGAAAAAAAATAACAAGAAGAAGAACAAAGAAGGACCAGGAATAGGGATGGCAGTCGGGCACGACGGGCACGGGTAGTGACTACCCATGCCCGTGCCCGCGAGGTAATTTATGCCCGCGGGCATGCCCGTTACTACGTGACGGGCAAGGAGTACTTCCCATGCCCGTTGCCCGCGGGCGCCATGTGCCCGCGGGTATGCCCGTTTACCCGTCCAAGATCAGTTCAACTATAATTCCCAGTTTCCCACAAGCAAAGACAATGTCACAATTTAAAGAATTTAAAGAAATGGTACAATAGTACCAAGTTCAATACAAGCATTACAAGTTCATTAATCACAACTTCAAATGACATAGTTTAGCACAATCAACAAACTTCAAATGACATAGTTTTGAGGCAGCCAAACAAGCCATCGCATGTAAAGTTTCTTCTTCTTCTTCCTGTTCAGCATGTTCTGCAGATGCATCCACACCAACAGGAGGAGCAGTTTGTGAGGCTTGCTCACGGTCAGGCTGGCTGCTGCTGACCGGAGGAGTAGCACGCCGGCTGCTACTCGCCGGAGTATTTGTATGCTTGCTGCTGCTTGCTGGAGTTGCCATTAGTTCAAATCACTAGCAATCAAATCACAAATAATAGATCAAAATCAGGAGAGACTAGATCGAAAAAAATAGATACCTAGATCTAGAGGAGAGAAGGGGAATAGAAGGGGAAAAGAAGGGGAATACCTTGCGGAGGACTGGAGGCGGCGGCGACCGGAGACGGCGGCGACCGGGGGGAGGGGGGACCACGGCTCGGCGCAGTGGAGGCAGGAAGCAGCAGCGACGGCGGCCGCAAACGGAGGGGGCCTGGATGGAGGACGACCGGCCGGAGGGGTGCTCGGCGCAGAGGTGAAGCCCCTCCCGGAGGCAAAGCCCCTCCCGTCCCCTTCTGCGGCCGTGAGGCAAAGCCCCTCCCGTCCTCTCTCGTCCCCTCACGGCGACGACTGCCCGGCGGCCGGCGGCGGGAGTGGGGGCGCCGGCGGCGGGGGTAGGGGCGCCGGCGGAGACCGGGGTGGCTGGGAGGAGGAGTCGAGGCTGGGAGGCGGCTGGGACTGGGAGTGGGAGGAGAGGCGGCTGGGAGTGGGAGTGGGAGGAGGCCGGAGGGAGAGAAACCCTAAAGATTTTAGATGGTGGTTTTTATACTAAGTTGACTGAGGGCCCACATGTCAGTTGGTTTCGCGGGTAAACGGGCGAAGCGGGCATGGGTAGTGACTACCCATGCCCGTGCCCGTGTGCCCGTTGGGTATATGTTTTGACCCAAAAAAAATACCCATGGGTACTAAATGGAGAACAAACCCAGCTCTATTAGGGTTTTTACCCGCGGGTAAACGGGTAAATGGGCAAAACTGCCATCCCTAACCAGGAATAGAGAGGAAAAAAAAATGAAATCGGGATCCTGCATCCGCCGCCGCCGCGTCCATCCGCCGCGCATCCATCCATCGCCGCTACCGCCGCCGCCGCGTCCATCCATCAGGCCGCATCTATCTCCTACTGTTGCCGCCACATCCATCTCCTGCTGTCACCGCCTCATCCCGCCGCCGCCACTGCATCCATCCATCACCGCCGCCGTCGCCGCTGCATCCATGTGCCACCATGCGCCATCGCGGTGGCTGTTGCCGCCGTCCTTGCAGATAGGAGAACAGCCGCTGTCCTTGCAGATAGGAGCGGAAAGAGGGCGGAGTTGGAGGGAGAGATTGAGTGGGAGAAGCGAAAGAGGGAGGTTGGGAGAGGAAAGGTTGCCGTGTGAACGGAGAGAAAGGAAAAGTTGGGACGCTCTAGCTCCTTCTGGACCACCCATGACCACGCAAGATATTGAATGTGTCTCGTTTTCTGGGCGCGAATCGATTTTTTTGTGGGACAACCACTCTGCCCCAGGAATCGGTTTATTTTAGGACTGAGGGAGTAGGCAAATACATTGAAGCCATATACCAGAACTACCCATGGATTTTTCTTGTCATATTTCGTTCAAAGAGTTGAGGGGAGATAATGCATCGGTTATTCGCTCAAAGGGGTGAATGGAAGATAGTGCATCAAGTTATTCGTGTGGATAGTGTATCAAGCAATTCGCAAGGGCGAATTTTCCTTCCAGGTTAGGTCGCTAGGAACCTACCACTAGAAATAGATGTTCTAACTTACAACCTCTTATTTTAATTTTAAGTGACTGACATGTGAGTCACCCAGCTTGTGGGTTCATATTTTAGCAACCAACGTTCAGTGGGCAGTAAGTCGCCCAGTACTATATCTCATGCTTCATAGCACATCTCAAAGATGTGATGCCGACACACGGTGCATCCTGTAACAGCTTTCATTTATGCAGGTAAGCAGGGGTAAATTCCCCGGTAAGGGGAGCAACAATGAAGCTGTAGAAATGCATTTCTTTCATCCAGTTGTAATTTTCAAGCTGCACATGGATGTCCTTTGGTGATAAGTTGATTAAACCTCAAACACATTTTAGTTGAGGTATATGAATGCCTTCCTGTGGGACTTAAACACTTACAGTGAGTGATCATAATTAAAAACGTCTCCAGAGCAGCAAAATACTGATGGGAAAAAAAATTTGTGGTGCCATTAATCATAAAATCAACAGAATAGACAAATCCATGTCTTGTTGGCATGGATGATACGGTGAAACCACAAAAGCACAACTAGTTTCTGGGCTCCTGTCTGTGGAAGGCACATTCATAGGAAAAAAAGATGAATAAACACCTACGAAAGCGTTCTTTTTTCTTTATCCTCACCTACGAAAGTGTTGGGTCTCGGTATCTCTTGAAGAGGGATTCGATGTCATCAAGAACTTCCGGTGCCAAAGGCCGTGGAGCACTGGTAAATGCATCAATGTTCTCCTTCAACTGATCCATGGTCGTTGCTCCGATGATTGTGCTAGCTGTGAATGGACGGTCACGCACAAAGCCCAGTGCAAGCTGGACTGGAGTTAGGCCGTGCTTCTTGGCAAGCTTGACATATTCATTCGTTGCTTCCTGTCAAAACAAATGCACCAATCAGCAAGTCACCATTTACGGGTGAGAATGAACAGAAAAAAATATTTTGATAAACTGGACAGATGAGAAATGAATCGGAAAATGTTTTGATTTAACTGGTTTGTTGGTTGAAGTATTTGATGGAGTAGAGTACACATACTTTAGCCAACGATGCATTGTAGCGCTCCATGTATCCAGGGAAGAGATTTAGCCTGCTCTTCTTTGATATGTCAGGGTTAGTATCAATATACTTCCCAGTGAGAACACCTCCAGCCAATGGAGAGTAGGCAAGCAACCCAACATTACAGTTATTTGGGTGGCACACTTCAACAAGGTCAACTGCTCAAAAACAAAATTTGGTGAATGTCCACTATGTGAATAAATCCAGTACACTGGTATAAATCATTTTTGCTTTTGCTAGGGCTTAATAGGTTTATCTTAAATCAAGAAAAGCAATAAATTAAGTTATCTAACAATGAATGTTTATCTGCATCTCATGTTTGTTGGAGATAACAGGCAAGGTAACCAATGTTTATGAACAAAAGATATGGCAAAGATATATCATACTTAAGCTCAGAACCAAGAGCATGAAAGAGTCTTGCAATGAATAAAGTGAACGGATAAATGTTATCAGTTTAACCTTCAAAGTGACATCTCACAATTAGACTATAACTGTTCTGGATGCTCACAATCTTTGGAAGTCCTTGAACCTTTGCAGCATGTACAAACTCCATCACTCCATATGAAGTTTCATTGGAAACACCAATATAGCGAACCTAGAACGGTGATTAAAATCAAATTAAACAATGGTTTACAACTTGCCATTATTCACAAACTCTAAATATGCTGTGAGTTTTTGAAAAAAAAAAAAAACTAGAAACTAGTCAAATGCACCTCTACCAAGACAACAGTTACATGCGCTCATATGTTATAAAAAATACACATCTTTAACTGGATGATAAAAGATATAAGTGTCATGCCCTGTTGAAAGGTGGCTCATATGAGGGGCAGGCATGAAGCTACATGGTTGTAAACTTGTAATCCACCGGTCCCACTCACTGACAGAAAATCCTTTCTAAGTGCAAAAAGTGAAGATGCAGTATAAATGCATTACCTTTCCTTCATCAATTAGCTCTTGGAAAGCTTTCAACTGTTCCTCAAATGGAACACTTGGCCTCCATTTGGTTGGGTTGTAACAGTATTCACCAAATAGTGGAACATACCTATCTGGCCTGAAGATATAAAACAAACATCTGGATGAGTCTTGTTTGTTCATCGTTGTGAAGATAGAAACTTCAAACACATAAGTATAACGAGAGTAACTTCTATCTAAACAAGTGTAAGTGAATAGTTAAATAGCTCACGGTATTTCTGTTAAGATAGCAGATACACTAAAACAATTTATATCAGGCAATGGATTGAGTGGTGAAAAGAGAACTCAAATTTACAATTTCCATTTTCATCATTTTTTTCTCGAATACACATGTGCACTAATTTCGTCATATATATTATTTGTATTGGTATACTTTCCAAAGGGAAAATTGCTAGGTAGTCACGGTGTCAGATATATGACAAAATTTAAGATAATGTATTAAATCTTGTATGGGAAGATAAGAATAGAGAAGTGCAAATTACAAGACACTGAGAGCCAAAGATATTTTGTATCCCTAGGTAAGTGCAATAAGATCAAAAGTAGCAGGAACAACAGGAAACAGTAGGTAAAAAGGACACCACATGTCCTTGTTAATACATAAACTAAATTTTCTTCTTGCAATAATGTATATACCCGTCAGATGGAAAATAATATTTGAAAGAAATATACTTTTCCATATGCTATGTAGATAAACAACTGATAGCTGAAAGAATCCGATGAATGGTTATGCATTCTGAAAATGATTGTGCGAATCAAGCTGGCCAAGGACGTCTAAATTATACGAGAAAAAAAAAGGCACTAACCAGTGTATCTGGAGTAAATCAATGTAGTCTGTAGATAAGCGGGAAAGACTCTTTTCGACACTTTCCTTGATATTGGCAGCATCAACACGAACTACTTTCGCATTGTCCCGGAGAAAAGTAGATCGCTCTGAGTAACCTGAAACTTTTGTGGCTAGAATAATCTAGGTGCACAGAAACAAACCACGCAAACACAATGTTTCAGTAACACTGCCAGATATTCCATCATCGGTTGGACATTCAGGGAACTGTTCGTAGTGAAGTCTGAGTTGTATTTACTTATACTCTTCAACTTATTGCAGTTAGTATAATTATGCTACCTAGACCCTAAACACCAAAGTTAAAGAATGATCATATTAAATTGAATAAAGATGATGAATTTCCTGAGTGACTATAGCTATTATCCTGTGGAGGCTGACAGGCTGTGTTTAACCTTCCCACGCATGGATTCAAATTGTATATCTGACATGAACGCCCATATTCCTCTTAGCGAATGCCATAGTTCCTACCTATTTTTTCTTAATTTAGTATGTGATAATAAATGCAAGAGCTTATTTTAGTTACCTTATCTCGTGGCTTTGATTGCATCCAACTGCCTATATATAGATCAGTTCTTCCTTGAGTCTCTTTTCTGGGTGGCACTGGATACTAAAGGCGAAATGGAGAAAGGCTGTTACAAAATGAAAAACTAAAGCAATTGCCGCTCCGTAAATCAGGAGAAAAGAAAACAGAAGGAATGTACTAATTAACCATTTCTGCTGTGTCAAGGATATTGACACCTTGATCGAAAGAATAAGAAAGAATATCGTGCGCTTCCTTCTCCGTGTTTTGCTCTCCAAATGTCATCTGAACAAAAAGCAGGATTAGCATGGGATGTAAAATTAAATGTAAAAAACAACAAGAGCAGGAAACATGATCTCCAGTTATATATGCACATACTGTTCCAAGAGTGACCTCACTGATGACAAGGTCTGAATCTCCCAGCTTCCGATACTGCATCTGCGACTGCGCCTGCGCCCGAATTCTGCTGCCGATGCGTCTCCTGTGCCATATCTCAGGCCGACGGGAGCACAACCCCGATAAGGTATTGCCATGTGATGAGGATGGGTTTGCAGTGAATGCAGATACGGCCATTTGTTGCATGCTGAAGTTCCCTGTTCTCGCACAATTCCAACAAATTAACAAGGTTAGACAACAAGTAAACAACCAACACTAGATCATATATGCACACATTTCTCTCCACCCAAAAAAAAAAAAACTCACACCGTTAGGAGAGCACGAAAGCACCCGTCTCCCTAAATCCCTATGCAGAATTAAACAATTCTTGGATTCGTTGGCCAGGGCGTCTACTCATGATTCATGAAGTGGAGAGAGGGAGGGATGATTACCAGCACAAACCTGGTCGCCGGCCGTGCGCGCGTGGAGGATTCCGCACAGGGGAGGGGAGAAGGCTACGGCGGCGGCGGAGGGCGCGAGGAGAGGAGGCGATGCGGTCGAGGGGTAGCCGTGGCCCGTGGCTCCGGCGGGACCGCAGTTTGGATAGCACTATAGCAGGAGGCACGGGCCGCACGGCCGGCCAACGGGAAAAAACAAAAAAAAATAAAAGAAAAGAAAAGGAAAAGGATATGTGGTGGGCGGGTGGGAATGGGATACACGCAGCGAGAATAATCAAGGTTTTTGGTTATGAATGAGAGCGGCAATTGTACGAAAAAAAATTGAAAATATACCTTTTTTTTTTTTGCATAATTTGCGTTTATATACATCCATGGCAAGTTTTGCGAAAATAGATCTAACCCGTGTCGCGGCGATGCAGGAGCGACGCGCAAGCGCGAATTTGGGACACGGGACCTGTGCCCGCAGCAGTCACGCACGTTGGAGGATGCGGTCCTGCACATTGGGCATGCGGCACCGGGGCGCACCCGCACATTGGGCATGCGACATCACGGTGGTTTGCAGGACCGGTCGGCACCAGCTTGGTCCCGCAGAATGCTTATGCAGGACGGACTTCGGTCCCGCGCACCACAGTGCCACATATTGGAAACGCGGGACTGCTCTTAAATTAACCCCTCCTAAACTTTAGGTCCAATCACTTTTAAACTTTTGTGTGTAGTTAAAACAAATCAACCACTCCTAAACTTTAGGTCCAATCATTCCTAAAATTTTGCACACAGTTAAAACAAACTGAGAATCCTAAACTTTTGCGCAGAAGGGAGGGGGGTAGGGCAGTCGCGCGCACCGGTCGTGCGGGACCGAGGCCGTCGCGTGCCTTGGTTGTGCGGGACCGTGGTGGTCGCTCATTCCGGGAGCGCGGGACCGATGCTCCCACTTGGCCGCATGCAGATCCGTGCCGCTCCCGCGTGCTTCCTTTGTCATCTCATTCACGTGAAGTTGTCTCCCACGATGCGTGCTGCTGCTAAAGGTAGACAAAATATAAATCCGCGCCGTCAATACAGTAAAAACGTCAATCATGTCTTTTCTTTTCGTTTGAAGCTCACCCCATAAACTAAGAGGGAGGGTGAGAGATGTGATGCCCCTCACACAAGAGCTGCACAAAAGAGAGGAGACGCTACTCCTGCAGAAGAGAGAGTAGCATTGTGAAAAAGACGAGAGCTAGAGAAAACATTTTGGTGAGCTTCCAACAATTGAAGAAATAGAGGTAAATTAGTAATATAAATATTATCAAGTATACGTGGCGATGGCTTGTGCATTAGATGTAATTATTAGTGTATTGGATAAGTTATAATTTAGATAGTGTTCATATATTACATATAAATTGTTTGGTTATATGGCATGTTTAGAAATTTTAGGTACCACTTACGTTAGAAGTCGATAAATATGTAGTATGAATGTAGTTTGAATATAGAATGGGTTTAGTATTATATTTGTTGTACATAAGATGTGCATAAATTTTTATTAGTGTGTTAGGCCGTGGGGAGAAATATATATATATATATATATATATATATATATATATATATATCGAAATTTCTTTAGTTGTATGTACGATATCTGAACAAGATAGAGAAATGGGTAAAAAATATATTAGTTTAGTATGTACATAGAATGATTAGAATGATTGTAGTATTATGTTTTTGGGTACATAGTAAGGGGAAAATTTTAATTAGTATTTAGAGCCGTGCCGCGTGAATAATTGAATGTGGTAAGAAATATTTTTAAGTTGAGTGTACCATTTGAGAGTGAATACGGCAAATGAAAGAACAAAATTTAGAGGTAACTTGCACGACAGTTGGGATTGATATAAATAGTATGGATTTTGCAAGATTTATTATTGACATATATTCATTATTTTGAAGGTTATAAGTGTGAACGTGGTGCATTAAATTTAGAAATTACAAGTTCGGAGAAGGACGATAAATAAATAGGAGACATAGAGGTAAGCATGTATATATTTTTATGTGTTTAAACTTGGTAATTATTATTATGTTGTTAAATTTGCTGCATTTAGAGACAAATTTCAATAGTTGAGTATTATGTTGAGTATTTAGAAACAAAATTAGTTGAGTATTATGTTTTATTGTACATAATACGTGGATAAATTTCAATAGTATTTAGAGACGCGTTGCGTGGAAAATTAATGTAAAAAAATTTGAATACATTAATATGTATCCATGAACCATTTGTTACATTTGGATAGTAAACCAGCGAACATATATTAATATGATATTATAATTGTTGCTTAACCTTTGAAATATGAAATTAAAACTTGATTTAGGGATTCACTAAATGTGCAAATCATTTAAAATAATAAAATGAACAAGGGAATAAATTTTCTTAAGAAATCATGGTGTGAGTTAATTTTCTGAAATTCTCCATGAACTAAAATACTCTATGGAATTATCGTGAAATTTTCGAAGCTATATTGGTAATTTTAAAAGTGCAATAATAATTTCAGCAATTATTAAAAACATAAAAGCAAAGAAAATACCCAATTAGTATTGGGCTGATTTCAGCCCATTTGAGGAGCATGGTGTAGGGAAGTGGGTAAAATCAGCCACCTATTGAACTCTAGTCTTTGGTGATTTTAGCCCATTTTGATTTCAGCCCACCATCAGATGAGTGTAGGAAATGGGCCGAAATCAGCCCAACAGTGATGGAGGGATTTGATTTGTTTTTCATTTAAACTAATTGCTAAAATGATGTTTGCGATGTAAAAATTAAATCCTTCGATTGAACAGTTGGAAGAAAGTTTGAGGGAGTGTTTTAATATATTGAAAATTTAATAAAAAAATATATAAGAATGATTTATTAAGGGAATTTTGTTTTTAATTGTAAGGTCATTCAATTTTCAATAGTTTCATATGTTAAATAATATCCAAATTTTGTTAAAAAAAACTCAATTATAGGTATGTCACCAACCTTTAGTTTAATAAAGGCCGTCAAAATGCTTCACATACAAAATGAAAATGACATAATCCATATCTTCATTTGTGAGTATCGTTCTCATCAACCTCGTACTCACTACTATAGTTTTGATTAAGAGTTAACTTTACGACTTTTAGTCATATATCGTAATATTTCTTATAGTGTGATTAGAGTTGGGTCGTATGTAATGCAATTGTTTATTTGTTTAGGAATAGCAAACTTTAGAGTATATTATGGCGATGGGGATATTATGTCCAACGAAATGGGTGTTGACTTGAGCAACTTTAGTCAATGCACACTGTATCACCCAAATCCGGACAATCTAACAATGCCCGAAGTGTGGTACTGGTTGACATTCTCATTCTCATTGGACCCACAAGTTTATAGTGTTAATGTCAGTCTGCTATGGAGTCATTCGGGCACAAACATCCAATGGCAACTGAAAGAAGTAACCCGAAGTCAATCATGAAAGGATTGGTTGCAAGGTTGCAGACGCCGAGGATACAAGATGGCCATGTTGGTGCAGGCTTGTCCGAGGAGGGCTCGACCAAACAGTTCGTTTGGTCAGTTCAATATGCAGGGAGATGCATGTGCTCAATCGAGTGCATTTAATGTGGAAGTCTCCCAGCATAATGAGGACAATATCGGCATTGACATGCAGAGCCTGCATATCGAACAAGTTGAACAAACAGAATTGCCGAGCACGGTGCAACAACATGCGATGGGTGAAGCCGATGAAAGGGGAAGAGATAAATGCTACAGTGGACGAGATTGAGAGGTGTCACACCCTAAAAATCCTAAATATATAAATTGTTGTTTAATTAGAATTATTAGAAATGATTTTAAAAGCCTAGAAGAGAAAATCTAATTTTAAATAATAAATTCCAATATAAAATGGGGCCAGATAAAATTTCATTAAATACTTTGCTTGATTCTATAGTTCCTGGAGTTTTCTGGGATTTATTTGAGCCAAGGAAGTATTTTTAATAAATGGAATTGCATTTCATGAATAATTTAAATTGGAAAAGGTTTTAAAAGTTCTCTTTTGGCTTTGGGCCGAAAGTCGGCCCAAAACCTTCCCTCTCTCTCCTCTTAGGCCCAGTCAGCCCGCAGCCGCCCGCGCGCGCGCGCTCGGCCGCTGACAGGTGGGTCCCACCTGTCGGACTCGTCGTCCTCCTCGCGCCGAAACCCTAGCCGCGCCGCGCCGCCGCCGCCTTTCCAATTCGGCCGCATCTTTCCCGATCCGGTGAAATCGTTTGAGGGGAAATGCTCCCCGGGATCTTCTCTACCTTTTTCCTTTTGGAATCGATCGCCAATTCGGTTTGGAAATCCGTGGATTCGAGTTTGATTCGGATTGATCTCTCTCCTCCAAACCCTAAACCTTCCATCGCGTCGCCGGTCGCCGTGGGCCTTCGCCGCCGCCTCCTTGCCACTATAAAAGGACCCCCGGTGTCTCCGCTATCCGTCGCCACCCTCGCCTTTGCCCGCCGCCATCTGTAGCGCCCTAGCACCGTGCAGCCGTGCGCCGCCGTCGCCGCCGCAGCTCCAGCCGTGCGCCGCCGTCGCTCCGGTCGTTGTCGCTGCTCTGGGAGGTCACCGTCGTGGTCACCAAGCCGTCGCCGATCTCGTCCACCCCTCCGTCGTCGCCGTAGGTCGCCGGAAAATCGCCGTCGTCGTCAAGCTGAAGGTCACCGCCGCTTCTTCCTCGACGCCGTCGCCGTCCGCTGATCTTCTGCCGCTGTTTTGGTCACCGGTGAGTTCGCCACGTCGCCCTCTACGTGTTGGTGTCCTCCGTTCGCGTTGTCGTGCCGTCGTTCGCCGGCGAGCTTGCGCGCCCGAGCCGCCGCCGGTGATGACGTCATCGCCGACGTCATCGTTGCCGTCCGTCGTAGACCGGTCGTAGACCGTTAGATCTTGGCCGTTCGTTGTGGATAGGATCGATCTCGGCCGTTCGTTTCCGTGAGCCGCTGCCGTGCACCCGGTCCACCGCGAACCCTAGCCGCTGACGCAATAATTCCCTTTTCCTTTTCAAAAATAATTCATTATTGTGTCATAATTCAATTAAAACCCATATAAGTGTTTTAATCTGATTTAATCCTTAAAAATTCATAACTAATTCATCTTAGCTCGGATTTAGTTGGTTCAAGTCTCTAATTTTTTCTAAAATTGAGATCTACATGTTAAAAATATCCACATGTACTGTTCATGCTTGTTTATGTGCTGTTTTGGTGATTTTGCCCTTTTCTCTTTAGATTCCGACGTTTCCGGAGAGTCTGAGTTTGCAGGAGAAGATTTTGAAGAGTTCCAAGGCCAGCAAGGCAAGTCACACAGATCCCAAACAACCCTTTGAGCATGTTGATCCCGTTTAAGGCTATTGTTTCTATTCAACTATTGCATTTATTTTCGAATGTCATTGGGTGGAATTAACCTATTGTTTGTTATAGCCCTTTTGTTCTTGATTACTTTATTCCTTGATACCTTGGGTTATTATAACTTGACTAGTTGGGCTTTATATATTGGTTCAACTAGATATTAGATATGATTGCTTAGCCATGCTTAGAAACATTAGCACACTATTGGGATAACTTATGACTCACTATTATTTAATGATGGCTTAATGATAGCTCATGATGGTTAATCATGACTGGTTAATTAATTAATTTGCCAACTAAAACCTGATAATGGTGGGTTGTGAGCACATGGTTTTGATGGCCGTGCTCATGACAATTAAGGACCGGTTCACGAGTTTCGGTTGTGAAACATTAACCGTGCCAACCACAAGCCAGCGTGGGCAACAGCTTTACCTTTTGTATAGCATGGTTCATTGCGGAGCACCAGACTGAGAAGTGGCGGAGATAAGCCCACTGGGAGTCCATGCCTTGTTTATAAGGGGGTGATTATGATCCAGGAATGGTGCGCTGTGGTGGATTGTGTTGTGCGAGGGGTACTGTCACAGCTCATTTCTGAGATACCGTGGTGGTATTGAGGTGCATGGTGACATGTTGTGGGGCTGTGTCTTGTGGGTACAGTGGTACACCTCTGGCCAGAGTAAAACTATTCGAATAGCCGTGCCCGCGGTTATGGGCGGGTCTAACAATGTCTTTCGTGATTAGTTTCACACTTCTCACCATAATAAAAGATGCTATAACTGGTAATAATTTGATTAGCTCCTGGTTTGGAATGGTATATTCCTGGTTTGGAGATAGAACTGTGCAGCCGGGATGGTTGTTCAGAATGGTTGGGCCTATGCAACAGGGTATGTTGTATAGCGTTGGATTAATATTGTTTAATTACTACTTAACTATTTTATTAAATTCTGAAATGTTTATTAAATGCTGTTTATGCAAATGAAACCCTACTTTGCCATCCTTTGTTATCCTGTGCACTTGCATATTTGCTGCGTGGCTTGCTGAGTATGTCATATACTCACCTTGCAATCATTCATCAGAGGAGGAGTTCTACAGTGATGCTGATGGTGTGGAGGATTAGGTGTAGCCCTGGTCAAGCTGCCTGTGGAGTGGAGTCGTCTGCGCCGTTTATCTTATTTTTTCGCTGCTTAGATCTTTATTGATTGAGAGGAACTATCTACCTCTGTAATGACATTTTATTCGCTTATTAATTAGAGTAATAATTGTACTCTATTATCAATTTGTTATTGTGTGCCTCGGCTGATTCCTGGACGAGGGTTCACACACATGTAAGCGTTTGGAATTTTGGATAGAAATTCCGGGTGTGACAAGAGGGTTGATAGGCATGCTCGTGAGGATGAAGCTAACTTGGCTCAGGAGGAGGATGAAGAGGCAGATGATGATGAGTACGAAGTCCAACCTGTTCCAGCATCATGGAACCGTGAAGATCTTGGATATATCGGAGAGAACGAGCTGCAGGATACAAATATTTTTCGAGCATCTCATAGTAAATAAAAGATTCTTCACAGGTATCAGGTGGCTAGGCCTATACAAACAACAACAGGAGGATCACAGTGGCATCAAGGTTCACATCGGTACCGGGTAAAACTGTTTCAGAAAATAGTTTCGCACAGATAGCTTGTTAACTTCTCATCTAATACTATTATATATAATCTAGCATTCGCACGTATGTATATGAAAACTTATGAATTATATTTGGTGCTATTTTTAATCATTATAGTTATGGTAACCTTTCTGTAAATTAAACCAAAATCTGTACGTATCATTATGAAAATCGTCCAAAAATTTAGCTCTTTTTCATGCACAGTTTTTATTGAAGTACAAGTGGCCTAACTTATAGAATTAATTGTTGTACCCAATGCTAATTTAATCTAGGGACTTAAAAGTACGAGAAAATTCCCTATGTAGTATAAAAAAAAGTTGCTCTACCCTCTATAGCACCCAAACTTAAAAAGTTCCCTATCTAGTCACTTCTAAAATTTCCCTTCCCTATGTAGCACTTATGTTAGTTTTTACACTTGACGGTGTTAACTAGCAGGAGAAAAGACGGTTTTGCCCTTCTTTAGTTTTCAGACTTGCCCGTACATGATCGTTGGTATTTTCGACATGTTTTCTCTTGATTTAACGTAACACTGCAAATATAACATGTCGATCCACTCTTTTGAAAAAAATAATTATCCTCTTGTGGTTTCACTTGTCATTAATTAACTTAAGTAATTAGTAACTAACATAATGTACAGGCAAGTCTGAAAACTAAAGAAGGGTAAAAGCGTCTTTTCTCCTGCTAGTTAAAACCGTCAAGTGTAAAAACTAACGGAAGTGATACATAGGGAAGGGAAATTTTAGAAGTGCCTAGATAGGGAACTTTTTAAGTTTGGATGCTATAGAGGGAAGAGCAACTTTTTTTGATGCTAGATAGGGAATTTTCTCTAAAAGTACTGGACACACTATTTTTATGGACTAATTTTCCAAATTCACTAAAATTATGTGGTGGTCTCGCCTTTTGTTTTCTGAACAAAATTAGTGCTATTTTCGAATTCAATATTCACATGTAGAGATTATTGCAGGTAGTACAGCGGTGATCCCTTCTATTCCGCATACAAGTACCACTGATCAATGGCAGGGAGGGTTTGTGCGGTTCGCAGGATCCAGCCAAATGGTTCCCCCAATGCATACAGAAGCTGGAAGCTCGCAATTCCAAGGAGCGTTTTCCGGTAGTTCAATAAACACACATGTTAATGTTCATCATTTTGTAATTTACTGAGTCAAGCACATATTTGCTTATTTTTGCAGGTGTACCTCAAGTTAACATGCCCGTGTTTTCAACGGGTATGAACGATCAGTGGCAAGGAGCTCCCACATACAACACATGTTCGTACATAATGTGTTTTACGATCTTTATATTGCGATATTAAATTAGCGCTGCACCTGCAGGGGATGTACCAAATGTCCATAAATGAAAACACACCACCACAAGGACCAAGCTTTCTCGAAATGTTAGGCCATGGAGATTGGTTGTTTAGTCAACCACCTCCATGGAGATTGGTTGTTTAGTCAACCACCTATCATGCAACCACAAACAATAGGTACAAATTATAATTTACTACAAAATATTTTATTTCCATTATGTGTGTACGCTACAACTTTGCATTCAATGTTTTGTAGGAATGTACAACCCTGAACAAATGATGGGATATGCTGGCAGCACATAGTCCTACGGAGAACCATATAGCTACGGTGGGGGGTCGTCAACAGCACAACACGAGATAGGACCGTCACAGCTTGATGAATCGCCACCAGTAACTCAGCGACCCAAAACTACGGCCACGTTGATCTCAGCGGTGTTGAGGTGGTCCGTAGGTCTGTCCGCGAGCGACATTCACCTAAAAGATTATCTTTGTCAGGATGCAGACCTCCAACCGGTGCTAGAAGAAAGGGAAAGAAAAAGGACACTAACACGTCACGAAATTTCGATGATGAGGCTAATGAGTAGAACGCTTTTATATTTTGCTCATTCAAACTAATATGTAATGTTGTGTGTTAAAACTTTCTAATGTCTCAGCTACATTTCTAAATTAATAAACTTTAAATATTTACCTGCCTTTCCATCCCGAATACTTACAAATATTTACCTTTACATAACACTTTAGTGGGTTTGAACACTTTGCGAATTCATGGCATTATCTTATGGTAAGCCCCCAATATGCACCATAAATCATCGCGTACTCAGTTCATACCACAATATAGGGCCTGTGAATTCGCAAAGTACACTAACCTATTGAAGCTTACACCAATGATATACTATTCTTGAGTCTGCTTCTTTCGTTCGTAACGTTCCTTTTATAGGCACTCAACGAGTAGGCTCTAACCAGACAACACATGAAAAAAGCTGGGAAGAATCACTCTCTTTTTCTCTTTTGTTTCTGTTTCTGGCTGAGCATATCACATGCAGCGAGATTGTTTCTGGCTTAGCATGTCACGGGGAAGTAACGAAATATTTACCTGCCTTTTCTTCATGAACACTTTGAAATATTTACCTTCACACAACATTTCAGTGGGTTTGAACGCTTGACAAATTCATGGCATTATCTTATGGTAAGCCCCCAATACGCAGTGCAAATCATCGCGTACCCAGTTCATACCACAAGATAGGGCCTGTGAATTCGCCAAGCGCACTAACCTATTGAAGCTTACACCAATGATAAACTCTAGGAATATGAGTTATTTGCTCTACGGATATGAGTTATTTGCTCTAGTTGAGTCTGCTTCTTTCGTTTCGAAACGTTCATTTTATAGGCACTCGTCGAGTAGGCTCTCTAACCAGACGACAACAAACTTTCGGCGAACAACACGTGAAAAAAGCTAGCATCACTCTCTCTTTGTTTCTGGTGGCTGAGCATGTCACATGGAGCGAGAGGACAAAGAACTTTCAGTGGACAAAACAACTTTCGGTGCGGTCCCGCGGAATGGAGGCGCGGAGTAGCTGTGCATTCCCGTCCTAGGGTGATGCCATGATTTTTTGTGGCCAACTTTGATCGTCTGTCTTATTTAAAAAAAATAAAAACATTAGTCACACATAAATTAGTATTCATGTTTTATCATCTAATAATAATAATAATAATAATAATAATAATAATAATAATAATAATAATAATAATAATAATAATAATAATAATAATAAAATTTAAATAAAATGAACCATCTAAATTGGGCATAGAAACTTATAGTTGGACTTAAAATTGGAAAAAGAGGGAGTGTGGTTGACGGGAGCTGGGCTGTGGGACCGGCGGCTCGGTGCCACAGAATGGCGCTGCGGGACCGCCTCAATCCCGTGCCTTGCGACCGGTCTAGGAGGCGGGCGCCACGGAGTGCGTGGGTGCCGCCGATTGGGGTTGCAGGACCGTCTCAGTCCCGCGCCTCCACTCCGCGCGATCGGCCGGCCAGGCGGCCGGTCCCGCTGCCACCACCACTCCGCACAGCCACGCCGCGGGACTGACTCGGTTCCACACCCCCAGTCCACGTGACCGAGCCGGTCCCGCACCCCCAGTCCGCGCCACCGCGTTCCCGCGCTGCCATCTCGTTCCTGCTTTCCCAGCGCGCGAGGAAGGTATATTTGCGCAAAACTTTATCTCCGACGTATATAAATGCAAATTATTAAAAAAAAGTATATTTTCACATTTAATTCGAAATTGTACTACGTGTGAGTGACTATATGACGCTGAAAAAATTTGCATAATTCACTTAAATGGAAGAGCTTACTTTGATGACACCCACTTCTGTTTCCAAGTCAGAAAGCTGAGCCAAGCGAAATGACATATTTGCAAATAAAAATAATTTGTGAATAAAACTTTTATATACGTGTTCTTAACGATCTACTCCCTCCGTCCGAAAATATAAGTATTTTTTATCCTGACACGGTATACGAGATGCCACTTTGACCAACAATATCTATAAAAATAAATGTTTTAAATAAAAGTGAGTTGCATATTATGACAGTTTGTTTAATGATAAATCTAGTAACATCAATTTTACATGATTGATCTTTTTATTTTTTACTATTATTGGTCAAAGTTAAAAATGTTTGACTTGTCACTATGCTAAAAATGCTTATATTTTGGGACGGAGGGAGTAAAAGAAAAGGCTGAAAAATAAACTTCGATAAAAAAAACCTCAAAATCAGCTCCAAATTTAAGGTTGAAAAATTCAAATTTTGGCTGATAAGCATAAGCTTAAGCGAAAAGATGAGTGGTCCCATCGTTTTGCTTTTTAGGGGGATAAGCCAAACGACATATTTGCAAACGAAAAATAGTTTATGAAAAAAAACTTTTATATACGTATTCTTATTGCTGAAAAATAAACTTCGATGAAAAACTCCAAAATCAACTTTAAATTTAAGGTTGAAAATTCAAACTTTAGCTGATAAGCATAAGCATAAATGAAAAGATGAGGCTGGACGTCCCATATGTATAGGGGTGAATCCAGCGTGGGTGCTGGGGGACTCGAGTCTCCCCTACCCCGCTGGATCACCATTGATAGAAGGGAAGATGAAAGGGGAAGAACAGTGAAAAAAAAAATAAAGAGTAGGGGGACTAAAGAAGGAATAAGGAGATGGGTCCTCTCTTAAATCTTGTTCTGATCCGCCCCTGTATATGTAAGGACTTTGGTGTTGTTTGCATTCAGACAGAAGGAAAAGATGCTGAGAAACTAATATCCAACAGTGAGATACTGCAGGAATGCAGAGTAGGAATGACTAACTTGAGGAGTTTACAGTAAATTAGTTATCTTCTCTTGTATCGTTTACATATTCGCTTTATGGAATCGTTTTCAGGACAATATCATGGTCGAAGAGATTTTTTTTTTGACGCAAGAAGAGATTGTTCCAAATCAAATAAGTTCATCCAGAGTAAGGTATGTTCTTTCCGAGGTTTATCATATGACATTCTTATATTCCTAACACCCTCTATTAATTGAATACTGACATGCGAGCCCTGCATTTGTTTGCAATATCAAATTACAGAGAATGCATAAGAAGATGCCTATCAATTAAATATCTTATTATTCGTGATGAAGTCATCAAGTACATTGGTGAACACAAACTCTACAAGGAAGCTGACGGCAGCGATACAAGCTTACCATTAGGCCATTTACAATGCAGTGATGTGTCATTCTCCCTCGCCATTCCACGTCGGCAAAGCAGGAGGGCACACGCCACGTCTGCTTCTAGGCCCACCAGAATGAGGTTCGAGTGTTCAAAGATGGCCACTGGTTCTTGGCGAAAAAGAGGACGAATGAAGCTGGGAGACGACGCTGCTTCCGCGTTGTGGAGCGAGTGGCATCACCCTCCTTCCCATGCCAGCCGCCTAGCCCGTCGTCGCTGTCCGCAGCCGTTGAGCTCGTTCTCGTCCCTGCCATCGGAGCTCGCCGGCCACACCGCCCCCGATCCGCTCAACCTGAAGCTCGCCGGCCACTCCGTCGCTCGATTCACGCCGGTCGGAGGAGAGCCAGAGGAGAGGGGTCGCCACCGTGGGAGCCGAGGTCGCCGGCCGCGCCGCCCTTGCAGGGCCGGAAGAGGAGGAGGAGGGGAGGCGCTCGAGCCTCCGGTTGCGAGTGGCATTGGAGTGAGCGGCGCCAGCGGTCGTGGGGGACAGGAAGGGCGTGTCGCCGCCGTGTCGCCCGGAGCTCGCCGGCCGCTCCGAGGTTGCCCCGTACCGCCAGATCCGCGTTGCCGGCCTGGGGAGGAGGGCAGCGCGGCGACGACCATGGTGGCAGCGACGAAACTACGGCCGCAGCCATCCTTGCGCCGCGCCCGGACGAGCCGTCGCCACTGGATCTGGCGAGCTGCCACGCCGTCGTCGAGACTCGTCGCTGCCACGCCTTCTTCGAGACTCGTCCCCACCATGCGAGAGGAGGGGAGGCCAAGAAGTTCGCCGCCGTCGAGCGCCAAGCCCGCCACCCCGCCAAGACCGCCGCCGTCGTCGCCTCCTTGCTGCCGAGCGAGTGGCCTCCATGCCAAGACTGCCGCCGTCGTCTCCTCCTTGCCGCCACCGCCGTCGTCCCCAGATCCACCGACGCTCCGCCCGGCCACCCCAGCGCCGTCTCCACTCGCCACTGCTCCGCCCGGCCCCGTCGCCGTCGAGGCCGCCGCTCCGCTCGAACGCCTCAGTGCCGGCTCCGCTCGAGCGTGAGAGAGGGGAAGGAGCAACGTTGGGCTCGAGGAAAGGGAGAGAGAGAGAGCGGAAAGGTGGAGAAAAAAAAAAGGAAAACTATATTTTTGTGGACCCCACTTGAGGTACTGCATTGTGAAGCTTGTACCTCTCAGTGTTCCTCAGCATATGTGGCAGATCAGGTCCAGCATTTTAGGTGACGCATTGCTATTGCCCTTAGGCAAGAGTTGTGTGGCCTGTGGGCATATCTATTTTGAGATATTCAATTGAATTGAATGATGAGCAGCAATCAAGCAATCAGGGCTCTTTTGCAACAAAGGACTTCTGAAGGCATTTAAGAGGAATTCAATCATATAAAAAGTTTTCCTATATAGTCAATTGGATCATAGGAATAGCATTCTAAAGAAATTAAATCTGTAGACTTTAAGGTGTCAGGACACTTCAATTTATTTTTCTGTTTGTGCGTTTTGAGAATCATACACTTGGAGCATCCGAGGAGCTCATCCAAAATTGATATTTCATATACCTTTATAGATGGCCATAAAAAAGATAGCTCCTTCGTATCCCTTCTCAATCCAATAGGTCATCCATATCATATTCTTTTATATTTTAGTAATATTTTTCAACTAACCTTATATTTATATTATTTGTATATTTATATTATTTTTAGGGGCTATATTTTGAATGACTATTAATGATGTTATTTATCGTGATAATATTTTGAAATAAGTAAATTATAATGGATATAATTTTAATTGGTAGTTTTTTAATTGATATAGTTGCATTGAGTGAGCATTTTTTTTTTCAATTTGATGTGTTCAATTGCTAGCTTTCCAACGGCTGTCGGTGAGTTCACCTATCGAGAAAAATCATAGCAACTTAAATAAAATAAAGATAAAAGCAGAAAAAAATATAGTAACATAAATCTACTTTATTCCTCGTTTTCTCTTTTTTTTTTCTCTCTGCTCTTCTCTAATCTTCTATACTCTTCTCTAATTCTTTTATTCTCTTTTATTACAGGTCCGGATGCACGGCAGCGGGCGGCGGGTAGGCGGAGGAGGCATGCGACAACGTTGGGTGTAGGCGGCTGCTGCCGGTGGCGCTCTCCAACCAGATTCGGTATGGCTCTCCCTCTCTATCCTCACTCCACGGCTACACCCTCTCTCTCCACCCTCAGGCGACGACGATGATGGAGGAGAGCGGAACTCTGGATGGGGACGGAAGCTTGATTCGTTGTGATATGGCGTGGGGAGAGAGACATGCTATATTTGCCTTTTCTCTTCTCGTTTTGGCGCATGCGCTACTTTTGGAGGAGCGATGGCGTATTTGCTAGAGGCCAGTTTTACGCTCCTATGCCCAAATTTCGGATGCCAGCAGATGCTCTTATCTCGTACAAACATAGGACCTACCAATCCCACAAGTTAACCGGAAGTTATATGCATGCTGCAAATAGACATGATACTTACCTTGATATTTAAATTTTTAGATTGTAGAAAGAATTATTATAATATTAATTATAATCTATAAACACCCCTCTGCAAAGGAAACCGACCTACTTAATTGCCTCCTGCCAAAATGACCCTTTATAGGGGCTCCATCACATTCTCAGCACAGCCGACAAGTCGATCCTCGCCGTCCAACTCGCCCAATAAACCGGTCTATCACCGTCCGATCCTTACCGACCTGAATGAACCCCACGCGCGTGCGCTTTTTTGACCGGTCGCCTCCGTCGATATTTTCCCGCGCCCACGAGCAGCCCAAGGTCCCATCTACCCACTGAAACGTGGGCCCCACATGCGGCAACTTCCACCGACCTGTGGGACCCATGTGGCAGTGTCGTTACGTAGGCGGCAACCCCCCCACGTCACCCCCGCCTCCTCGTCATCTTCCCCACTGGATAGTTCTTCGCCTCGCTGCTGCAGAGGAGAGGATTGAAGATAAAAAAAAAATAAACGGCGAGACGCAGAGAGGATGAGATAATAACAATAATTAATGAATTATAATTGATTTTTATATGTAGGATAAATAATAATAAATGAGGGGGAAAAAGCGGCAAGCGAGGTGGGGAGAAAGGGCGAGGAGATCACGAGGAGGGGTTGCTCCGCCGCCCAATCCCCAACCAAACCGAATCCATCCGCCTACTAGCTTCTTGCTGCTGGAGACGAGACGAAGTGGTAGTGGAGCTACACCTAAAAGGGGAGGAGGAGGAGGAGCGAGAGCTTCATTCACGGGAGGTTGCCGTGCCGGGCGCGCGCGGGTGATTGATTTCGCCGGCGGCGAGGGGAGGGAGGGAGGCAAAAGAGATGGACCGGGCGGCGCTGACGGTGGGGCCGGGGATGGACATGCCGATAATGCACGACGGCGACCGGTACGAGCTGGTGCGGGACATCGGCTCCGGCAACTTCGGCGTCGCGCGCCTCATGCGCAGCCGCGCCGACGGCCAGCTCGTCGCCGTCAAGTACATCGAGCGCGGCGACAAGATCGACGAGAACGTGCAGCGGGAGATCATCAACCACCGCTCGCTGCGCCACCCCAACATCATCCGCTTCAAGGAGGTCATCCTCACCCCCACCCACCTCGCCATCGTCATGGAGTACGCCTCCGGCGGCGAGCTCTTCGAGCGCATCTGCAACGCCGGCAGGTTCAGCGAGGACGAGGTAGGTAACCTTGCCATTTCTCTCTTCCCGGATATATATAACCCTACCAAAATTTTGCCCATTTCTTTGTACCATCCAAAATTGTCTTTTCTATCCTTCAGGCACGGTTCTTTTTCCAGCAACTGATTTCAGGAGTCAGCTATTGCCATTCCATGGTATGTATGATGCCCACCACCATCCTCTCTCTATTCTTTTCTTTGCCTCCACCAATTAATTGTAGCTTAAAATTTTGACAAGAAATCATGCCATGTGTGGTAGTTAAAATTCTGTGGTTACCTTTTTTTTTTTTTTTTTTTTTGGTCAAGCAAGTATGCCATCGTGACCTGAAGCTGGAGAACACCCTGCTCGACGGCAGCACGGCGCCTCGCCTCAAGATATGCGACTTTGGCTATTCAAAGGTATTGTCATGTCTCATGGAATACTCTGCTTTATGGATTATGTTATTGCTATGTTCTATCTCCTGGTTGTGATCCACAGCATTATCATGCTTGTTATGCCAAATTGGAATCTGAGCTGTGCATGTGTCTTGTTTAGCCTTTCGGGGAATTTGTGCCTGGAATCTTTTTTAACTTTATTCTGATCATGTCATGACTTTTTTTTCTTCATTTGTCAGTCGTCTGTTCTTCATTCGCAACCAAAATCTACTGTTGGAACTCCGGCATACATCGCTCCTGAGGTTCTGCTGAAGAAGGAATATGATGGAAAGGTACTCATATATTTGAATTTACATGCTTGCGTCCTGAATATGGTGTCATGGTGTCTCAGTCTGGTATATTGATACATCATACATGTACCATTTTCTCCACTTAAGCAATTGTACTTTCTTCGCGAGGCATCAGTGCGATTGCTGACTAAATATTTGTTTCTCAACAAAGATTGCTGATGTGTGGTCGTGTGGAGTAACCCTCTACGTAATGCTGGTTGGTGCATATCCTTTTGAGGATCCAGATGAGCCTAAGAATTTCAGGAAGACAATTCAGGTTTCCATTGCGGTCATCCAACATCACGGTCTCAAAATTTCATAACCATTTTGATTACAAAAACTGATCGATGATCTTCATTTTCGCAGAGAATATTGGGTGTGCAGTACTCTATTCCAGATTATGTCCACATATCTCCAGAGTGCCGAGATCTTATTGCGAGGATTTTTGTGGCCAACCCAGCCACTGTGAGTACCTCTGCCTTTATACTGTACTAGTTACTAGCCTCTTTTCTGTATCATTTCCTTCTTGATATAAATCGCAATTGTTTGGACATACAGAGAATCTCTATCCCCGAGATCAGAAATCATCCATGGTTCTTGAAGAATCTCCCAGCTGACCTTATGGATGATAGCAAGATGAGCAGCCAGTACGAGGAGCCCGAACAGCCAATGCAGAGCATGGATGAGATCATGCAGATACTGGCAGAGGCGACCATACCAGCAGCTGGGTCTGGTGGAATCAACCAGTTCTTGAATGATGGCCTTGACCTCGATGATGACATGGAGGACCTTGATTCAGACCCCGATCTTGACGTGGAAAGCAGTGGGGAGATAGTATACGCTATGTGATGCTGTGAATTCTAGCAAGCAGACAGGCAGATTGCTTGTCAGTTGCCCGCGAATTGGTTTGTTGTATTACAGTCACAGATGACAAAGATGGCCAAGAAACTGGGAAGTGGATACATGTGTCAAGAGTACATCACAAAAAAGTTCGGTTGCCTATGCTGTTTATTATGCCTGATGATCCCTGTTGTCTCCTGTTTTGTCGCCGTTGATTTGTGTATTGGAGTGTCCTAGATCTCGTTTTGAGAACTGTTTGGAACCTTGTCTTTGCTCCCCTTAACTGAGGGAAAGCGATGTAGTGGTAGTAGTAGTAGTAGTAGCAGCGTGAAGACTGAATAAGAGATGCCCCCAGTAAGCTCAGTACACGAACTTGTTTCCATTTTCAAAGCACCATCTGCACTGCACGTCATTAATTTTATTTATGTTACTTCAGTGAATTTCTCCCATTTTTGTTTAGACTAGAAAAAATGTCCGTGCGTCTCAACGTATTATTGTTATACTGTTTAGTTAAGATGAAGTTCACTGTGAGGATCCGCTTGGATATATATTTTTCTAGAAAATCATGAGCTGCAATTAGGAATCCGATCGTCTTAAGTTAACATTTTTTTTTTGAAACCACTCAAGTTAGCATAGTTTTTTTAAAAAAGATATCTTATATGACTCCTTCCGTATTTCCAAAAGCAAGCGAACTTAAAACCCAACTCAAATACAGATCTGTATTTTCAAAACCAAACAAAACTTAAAAACCGACTGACGTATTTGAACCAAATACCGATAAAAATATTCTCAATTTTTTAATAGTATATATGGTTATTCGGTATGCGTTAGCGTTAGCCTCTTAATTATTGATGTTCAGGCATTCATCATATTAAGGTACTACTCTGTTAACATCAGTACATCATTTGGGGCATGCAGACATCGCCATCAGCAGTTGGTCAAGCAAACCTAAACAACACAGCTGGCTGAAGCTACACCATCGCCATTGCTGATACTAGACCAGTTGACAATGAACAATTTGACCAGCGAGTCTCATCTCATTTATTAACTCAGCCATTACACAAACCTCACATACATCATGCAGGCACAATCAAACACACACAGAACATTTGTCATACTCATTGAGAAGTCACCATGATCAAATGCTGCTTCTCTACAGTATATTGCAACACCCATTCTTGTCTTCCCTGATCACAGAAGTGGATTCACCACATGGCCGATGAACAGCACCACACCTGTCATGTCCTCCCTGATCAAGAACAGGAACGGATGATCCGCAACGAAGTCCACGGTTACTGGAGCTGACCTAAAACTGACCACTGCTGCAGATGCAGCAGCAGCCTCGGTGCCTTCCTCATCCACCTGGACGAACGACTTGTGGAAAAGGGATGAAACGAACAGGTTATGTCTCTCTGGAGAACCCACCATCCCAGTAAGATCAGCCTTCGAACTGAATGGCAGTTGGAGCCCCAAAATTTTGAGCAAATCAGACGCTTCAAATCCAAACGATATCTTGAACTTGGGGAGCTTGAACTTGCCGACAGTAACTTGCCGCGTCGGGATACGCTTCTCCAGGAACTCTGGTTCAGAGTTCAGCTTCGCAGCCAAGCTCCAGAGGCCATCCTGTGCTTCCGGAAGAAGTATGTACATGGAGAACTGCCTCAGGTCCCTGCCTTTCTGGTATGGGAGCTTCAGTACCTTTTTTTTTTTAACAAACCGACACTTAGAATATACCAATTTCATTGAATATAGCAGAAAAAAATTAGAGGACTTTTACAGTACACTATACTGGTAGTATATACTTGCAGTATTTATAAGGGTATAATGAGAATTTCCTAAATGATTGTAAGGGTATTTTAGTTATTCATTCATCAGTTCAATCCCTAATTCTCTATCTATTGATATCAGTGTGCGTGAGTCAGGAGAGACGGCGGCGTGATTCGTCCTCGTCGGCAGCAGGATTCCCGGGCGTCCTTCTTCCTGCCCAGGCGGCCAGTCGCTGCCTTCCACCGCAGTCTGCCCCGCATCCCGCGAGACACATTCAATCCGGCATGGCTTCGGCGGCGCAACACCCTCCAACGAGCTAGAGTTGGAATTAAAGACAATGCGCTGTTGTTCTGGCTGAAAATACATCTGATCTGTGCGTGAAATTGAATGTGTGTACAGATATACTCTTATTTACTCTTTACCCTATCGCGCGTTCTTGCTCTACTCAAAGAGAAGAGTTATGTTCTTTGTAAATAATCTCTGCTATTTTAATCCGAAGAATGTATATATTGATCTAAAGATGACAATGGTATAGAGAGCAGTGGACCTAGAGGATCCGGCGATCCGAGGTCAGTGCCCCGCCGGAATGCAGAAATAGATTAGCATGCCATAGTAGAAATATAGGGTTTAATTAATCGGTACGTGTAATTTACATAATTAGCCCCACCTAATAAAATAGAAAGATGAATATGCGCTTTTTTATTTTTTACTGCAATCTAATTAAATAGCTATGCAGATCAATCTACACCGTTGGATCATTTATATTGGTAGTATATACTACCAGTAGATTGTACCGTAAAAATTCTCAAAAATTATACGGGTAGACCTATACAGGTTAAGCTTCAGTACCTTTAAGCTGTCGTAAGACGAAAGATATTGCTTCTTTGAAGTGGACATGAATGGTGCTAGAACCGACTTGCCATCAAGAAGACGAAATTCGCCATCTTTGGTTTTAGATGCATCAAACTTCTCAGTCCATGCTCCTTTGAAATAAAGGGCATTACCCAGAACCAGCCTGGTAGTATGGTCAACAGATCCTGGAGGGAGTATTTCTTTGATGAGGCCTGATGTGACTCTGTCTACCCATGAGTTCACCTGACTAGCAACTTCAGCGGCCTGAATAAAAAGAAAATATTCCATCATTTAGGATCAATGTCAAGCTTTAGAATGTGAGAGATGAGAGGTTCACGAAATAATTCTATGGAAGGTTTATCAGTCAATGGGAAGGAATTCGCATGTACTGATGGAACTCGTGAAAGATTGGCACTTCAAATGAGCATACCGATATAAATGATCATGAGTCAGTAACACTCTACAAGTCGTGGCATCATTGTACAGAAGTATCAATAATCATTCCATAAGTCAAATTAGTAATGTGCTCATCTTCTTACAAATAAATAATTCCCACAATAGAAAGTATTCCCTCTATTCTTTTAAATATGACGTTTGTCAATTCAATTTCCAACTAACCAACTTCAAATTGTTGAGTTGTGATCCAAATTCATTTGCACATAATAAAGGTCAGCTTCTATTGAAGCGAAGTAGAGGCCCGTAGATGCCGGAGGCTAGGCCGGAGCGAAGCAGAGGCTGAAGCCGCGGTACGGATCGTTATCCTGATATAGTGTAGTGAAGATACCTTCATATATATATCTTATAAGCCGCCGTTCGGTGTTGTAACCTCACGATATTTTACCGGCTGGCGCCCGTGTTTTTTTCTCTCCTACTTTTGGAGGGTTTTTCATGTTAAATCTCGTGTCTTCTGTGATTGATCTATTGTTCTTTATCGTTTATTTGCCTATCGTTTCCTAACATAAATATTAAAGGAGAGATGTAGTAACTTCTACCTAAACTGTATGCTAAAAAGGAAGCAACGAAAACCCAGAATAGTAAAATCTGCGCAAGAATTTCCATAGGACATTGTATTTTCGTGGCAATTGCTGTGCGACATTCTAAATACATGTCTTGACCATTGGAAACTTTGGTTTCGTGGCAATATGCTAAACACTATGACCATTGTTTCAACATTTTCCAGCTCAATTCAAGATATCAAATAATAGAAGTGCAAAATTCTCTACGACACTCAATTTATGATATTTGTTCTAGGACACTCTAGTTTAGTGGCTGCTATAGGACACTTTAGTCTAGTGGTTCTTTGCCAAAAGGCATTCTAGCCATTATTTTGATATATCCTATTTCAAAAGGGAGATAGGACTTTGCAAAAGACAATTTTACCTTTGGACCACCTTCCAAATTAAAATCTGAACATATTTTAGCTGAATTTAATCATATTTTACGGAATTCAATATTTGTTACAAATAAAAAAAATAAGAACATATATATTTTTTAAAAAAGAAATAAATATAGTCTGAATTTAACAACATCTGTAAAATATTTTTATTTTCATAATTTTGGACAACTTTTAAATTTTGTAAAAGGTTGAAAGTCAGCCAAAATGGTTCTAATTTAAACTTTGCAAGGTGGCCCCAGGGTACAATCATCGTTTGCAAAGTTTTCTATCTCCATTGGAAGAGGATATATTAGATTCAATTTTACAAAACCCTAGATTTTGGGGTATCAGTAACACGAAATACAAAACCATAATTACTGTGATTTGTTTTTGGAAACCCCATGTTTTAAGACAAGGTGTTTCAAGAAGCCCTAAATCTATTATTATATTATTAAAGGACTAGAAAAAGGAGCCTCCACGTTCGCTCTCATGGCCTAGAAATTCTCACATTAATCGGAGAAAAAGAAAAAGCAGAGTCCATATAGAAATATAATTTAGAAATAGCTGAAATTCGAAATTAAAAAATAAGGAATATTAGAAGAGGAGACTAGAGTCCATATAGAAATACAATTAGGAAATAACTGAAATTTGGAATTAAAAATAAGGAATATTAGAAGTAGAGTATAGAGTTCGTATAGAAATACAATTAGGAAGCAGAGTCCATATAGAAATACAATTTAGAAATAGCTGAAATTCGGAATTAAAAAATAAGGAATATTAGAAGAGGAGACTGGAGTCCATATAGAAATACAATTAGGAAATAACTGAAATTCGAAATTAAAAATAAGGAATATTAGAAGTAGAGTATAGAGTCCGTATAGAAATACAATTAGGAAATAACTGAAATTTGAAATTAAAAATAAGGAATATTAGAAGTAGAGTATAGAATCCATATAAAAATATAATTAGAAAATAATAGAAATTTGGAATTAAAAATAAGGAATATTATAAGTAGAGTATAGAGTCCATATAGAAATATAATTAAAAAAAAGAAATTCGAAATTAAAAAATAAGAAATATTAGAAGTAGAGTATAGAGTCCATATAGGAATTTAAAACTAACTAAAATTTGGAATAAACATAATAAAATTAAAAGTAGAGTTTAGAGTCCGTATAAAAAATATAATTTACAAATAACTAAAATTCGAAATTAAGAAAACACGGGAAGAAGAGTTTAAGGTCAATATAGGAATACAAATATAGGAATACAATTTAAAAGTAACTGAAATTTGAAATTAAAAATTAAAGAATATTGAAAGATGAGTTTAGAGTCCACATAGAAATACAATTATAAATAATAAAAATTCAGAAATAAAAATAAATAATATTAGAAGAAAAGCATAGAGTCTATATAGAAATACAATTTACAGGAAATTTGGAATTAAAAAAAATATTAAAAGACGAGTCTAGAATCCATATAGGAATATATATAATTGACAAATAACTTAAATTTGATATTTAAAATAATTAATAACTAACACGTATATAAAATATAATATGAAAATTCAGAAATAAAAATAAATAATATAGGAAGAAGAGCATCGAGTCTATATAGAAATACAATTTACAGAAAATTCGGAATTAAAAAAAAAAGAAATATTGAAAGACGAGTCTAGAATCCATATAGGATATATATAATTTACAAATAACTAAAATTTGATACTAAAAATAATTAATAACTAACTCGTATATAAAATATAATATGAATATTATACATTAGTAGTTTTGTAAAGTTATTGAAAAATTTAAAATTATGTTGTCATTTTAACATATTTGAATAATATAATGAGAAAACATATATGCTATTATATGAGAGAAAACATAATGATGCTAGCCACGCAATCTGCGCGGGCCACCATGCTAGTTTATGAAAAATATCCCTATTATATTGTTATATATGTTTTTAATATATTCGCATTAGTAGGCTCTAAATCCACATCCCTACTATCTACTTTTTCTTATTTGGCATTTTCACACTGCACAATTTCCAGAATTAAGTGGAATCTCCACTAATCAGTTACATATACACACAAATAGTCACAATACCGATAACCGAAGCTTATATAAGTGCGGTAAATGTGTTTTATGTACTCAGAGCTATGTTGTTTTGTTTTCCTACGATTATTATGCATAAATATAGTAGCCAAATGAATGATAAGAATTTTTTTTTGAAAATTTCCATTATTTCTAACCTTTTTTTAATTATATATATAGTTTTACAAGAATAGTGAAATATACACGTTCCCGCGGGGGTGAAAACACCGGACCGACAGCTGCCTCAACCCTGCGGCGTAGGTGCGTGGTACCGCGTCAGTCCCGCTAGCCGGTCGAGCGGCACCTCGCAGTCCCGTGGGATGGCCATGCGAGACCGGCAACATGCATGACAACATGAAGGCATGCGTGCATTTGTCACTGCATATATGCAGCTGCTGGTTGGTCGCACGCGCGGCTGGCTCACAGTACGTACCGCATGGCCTGCCCACGGGACCGACTGGATAAGACTGGTGGTTCGGTTCGGATAGTTTCCGTCGGAAATTTTTTTTTTTTGGATAGTACCAATTTTTTTGATTCGGAAAAATTCGGTCAGAACTATCCAAAATATAGTGGATTTGGAAACGAATTCGAATTTTTTTTTCTCGGATACGAAAACGAATTTAGTAAAGGGTGATATCCGATGATATGGAATCGGAAAACGGTCGGAAACCATCCGAAATTTTTCATCGGATATCCGGTATTTTACATGCGGGCAAAAAGAATATTTTTCAGCAAAAATAAAAAAATAAAAAAACCCCGAAACCCTAGCCGGCCGTGCCAGCTTCGCCGCGCCGCTGCTGCCGCCCGCCGCCGGCCGTCGCGGGGCCGAGCACCGAACCCCTCCCTTGGGCGGCGGATCCGCGCCCCCCCCCCCCCCGAGGGCGGCGCCGCCGGATCCGCCGCCCACCGACGCCGTCGCCGCCCGCCGCTCTAGGTTGAGCTCCCCCTCCGGGCGTCGCCCCTTGCTCCCGGCACCGCCACCTCCTCCCCCGCTCCCCACCACCGCATGCCTCCACCCTCCCGTGGCGCCTCCGGCCACGCTGCCCGGCCCGAGCCGCCGGCGCCCCGATCTCCTCCTCGGCGCCTTGATCTGCGCCAGCCCACCGCCGGCACCTCTCTCTCTCTCTCGCAAGGGAGCACGAGGGAAGAGCGAAGCTGCGACCTGCAAAGCAGAGGAAAAGGAAGGGAAGGAGAAGAATCGGGAGAAAGGATCTTTGACCGTGGGAAACCAAGAAAGAGAGAGAAGGAGAAACCAAGAAAGAGAGAGAAGGAGAAACCAAGAAAGAGAGAGAAGAAAAAAAAGCCGTAGGACCCACTAGTGGGACCCACCTGCTTAACTCACTCTCCCTAAAGTTTTTTTGACCGCCCAAAGTCTATTTGACCTCCCCTTACTTCAAACAACATTTTCAAATACTAAATGATTTCAACTAAAAAAGTCATCAACAACAAAGTTGTATAACTTATCAAGATCTATAACTTTTATTTTGGTCATTTTTTCATCCGACAAAGTGATAGTAACATTGTTCATAAATTTTACATCTTACTTATCTGGTTTTATATACTACTCCATAAAAGAGAGATGTAAACTTTGTGAGCAATGTTACTATCACTTTGTCGGATAAAAAAATGAAAAAAATAAAAATTGTATGTCTTGATGAGCTCTACAACTTTTGTGTTCATGACATTTTCAGTTGAAATTAATTACAGCTTCAAAATATTATTTGAAGTTTTGAAATTCAAATTTTTAATTGATAAAACAAAGTCACAAGAAAAAATGGCCAAAATAATAGCAGTAA